CTCTCAGCCCGTGTCTGACTGTAGTTTCATGAATTTTAATATCTAACATGCTAGCTGAGTCTTGTAGAGTTTGAGACGTGGCTCTTGGGTTCCTTGAACCCTCGTACCTTTCTGAACTTTTAACTATGCATATTCCTGAATAGATCTTTAAGGCCAGCTGATCAAGGAAGCAGAGTAAAGCACAGGAGGAGACCATTTAAATGTGACTGCGTTTTGACACTTTTCTTTTTGTTGTATCTCTTGTTCTTCTATTTTTCTGTATTTTCCTGCTCTAGTTTATTCCGTATAGGTTTACAGCACTTTGGTCAACCCATGTTGGTTTTAAATGGGCTTATAAATAAACTAACTCAACTTGACTTGTCTGAACATTGCACAGTCTGACCTTGGGTTGAATTTGCTGCCAAACCTCCTGCTTTTAAAAGATGTGATCACACTGGCCAATAATCAAGAGTGTCTGATCGCTCTTATTTCCTACAGAAGAGTCCGGGGAAGCCTTTCTTTTTCACATGACACATGAGGGAGTAAAGAGATTTAAATGTTTAACAGACTAGGTTTCATTGAATTTGACAGTTTAGCAAAAGGAAGATAAAGACAAATATCAACATATGGAAAAAGTCCATATTTAGGAGCTGAACATTTTAGTGGTGTGTACAAAAGTTTAATGCACTTTTTCATGGTTTGCATCAGGTGCAAAACGAGTCCATTTACTTTCACTACTCTCAGCTTTACCCTGAAGCACCAACATACTTCAGTTACACTTCAGTAGTTTTCTGTGAGGTTTTTCTTTGGTAAAACAGCCTGAGAGTAGAGTGTTAATTTGAGCATCAGGTTCCATAAAAGATGTTAAAGTCTTTTAATGTTTTTCTGAACTTCTGTTCCTAAGCAGGCAGCTTCTGTGAGGAGAAAAGGGAAGGAAATGCTTTTGATAATGATTCCTGTCATTGGTAAAACATTAACCATTTGTTTTTGAGTTTCCTTCTTACCTTTAGGCAGGGGGGGAGAGAGAGAGAGAGAGAGAGAGAGAGATTATACATATGAAGGAAAAAAAACAAACTTACATCAATCAGATTTATGCAATCAGTGTGTCAGTCTTTGTTTTCCACTGAAGTTATTTTTGTATGGCCGTGTGTGCGTGACATGAACTGGAGGTTCAGGCAGAGCCAGTTTCCACAGAGCTGTTCAGCTCGCTCATCCACTGTAACTGGTACACGGTGTTTGTGTGAAGATAAACAAGATAACAACAGATATGTTTTTTGTTACAAAACCTCACATTAGTTTGGTTTAAACGTGCAGTTTGACTTACTCTCCTGTACTGAAACTATTCAAGAACTGCCTTTGTTATACAAGCAATTAACAAACTTTGCAAGGAGTCCCAAGTACAACTGTAAAATCATGCAGGAGCAATGATATGATGCAGCAATTAAAAAAAAAAAAGCAATCATACATTTTCAGACTTTGAGGTCAAAGTCCTGTTATCAAGAAAGCAGACGTAAGAAACATGGCATCAGATCATATGTGGAACGTGCAAAGAAGCAGAGAAAAAAACTGAAGAGATCATTTGTTTTTGTTGTTTTTTTACTGCAGCAAAGGACAATAATGGGAGGGAGTGACTTGCATGCGCTGACTTTAATAATAAAGCTATGTACACAAGACGGATAAATAAGGGCTGAATTTTACATGATGATTTAACGAATGATAAAAACAACAACACAGACTTGTTTGCCTGAATAATGTTGGGGAATTTACTCACTCAAAGTCTAGCTACATTTAATCATTTCACAAATTATGATAACAGCAGATACACGCACACACTATCAACAAAAAAACGTTGTCTTCATGAAATATTCATCACATGTTGACAAACAGCAGGAAGAAAATGGCCCAGAACCAGTGCAGCCGTGCAAAAAGCAGTTTTTAATGCACTCACGTGGCAGAAATGCATGTCACAGCTTTGCAATGTCATCCTCCCACATAAGAGCTGGAAGGTGTTGTTTTTACTGATATAATATCTTACTCTTTGTGTTACTATTGTGGCACACTTTTGTTGCTATTTTATTGTCATTTAATTCACACCAATATTATTATTATTATTACTGAACTGTAGACAACAGAACTGTGGATCAATCGGCCTCACATACAGAGAGGGAAACTGTTTTCTGAAGGCAACACGCGTTTTTAACACGGTTTCCAACTGGACATAGGAGCAAAGGTGTGAACGCATTTTTCAAGTTATCTTCGATGTTTCTACTGGCTTTCTTTTATGCTATTGTGTGTTGCGCGTTTAGCTCCCGCCCACAAAAATCAGTGCTAGAGGAAAACAGCCGCTCCCGCTACTGATTGGTTCCGCGGTGCGCTCCAATCACCGCGATATAGTGACTCTTCTCCACACAAACCCGAGCGGTCGACTAGTAAGGTTGTGACAAATGTAGAGAAAACACAAACAGATTTTGTTTGGTTTTGTTTTTCTAACTGGATGTACTCCTTCTGTTCGTGAGGACTAGAACAAGGTGAAGCAGAGGATTAAGAAAACGACAGCCGAGTAGTGGTCTAAATGGTCAGACTCGGAAGCAACGAGGGGATGTGGAAAGATACAAGGACACATTTCTTCTCTATAAATACGATGGTGATGTTTATTTGATTCGACGCCAGCCTGGAGATTTGAATAAGAATGAAGGTCTTTGTGAAGAAGGTGCAGCAGGTGCTCTACGTCCTGCTGCCGTGTGTACTCCAGCTCTGCTGCGCTCAGACTCAAGGAGGTGGGCATAAACACCCGCACACACATATTCACACACGTTTATTTTTATCATTAGCCTGGGAGAGGAACGATGAATACCCCCTCTCACTTCCACCTTAGTTAGAGGTAATCACCTGTCCTCACAGACCTCATATGCAGAACCTGTTCTGCATACTTGTTTGCTGTGAGTCACCTGCACCTCTCCCACGGCTCGATATGCTTCATCATGTTTGTGACAGAGTGGCCCAGCCTCTCTGCCTTACTGACAGCCAAATGTGCATTTCTTTAATAGTTCCGCAGTTGCAGTGGCTATTAAGTAAAATATCGCAAAATAAAAGTGCCCAAACTTTACATGGATGGCAACAGTTTGTGGTGTGAAGTAGAAAAAACACGAGTGCTGGTTTACTGCTTGCTCTTGGCATAGTTTAGCCTAATGTATAAGGGACATCACACTGAAACTGATCATATCTTAATGTGTGGGTTCATATTCATTCATCATCTGTAAGGGTTTTTATTCCCCTCATCTGTTTAATAGTTTGATCATTTGTATTATAAAATTTCAACAGATGTTCTCTTCAAGAATAATTACACTTTTATAACCACATAATTAATCGATTGATCAGCTCTCAGAGTAACACATAAGCATTAAATGTCATATAGGTGTATGGGAAGTAAAGGTAGCATAGACTTAAAGTGCTCACATACATGAAACTTTTAGTTGTTCGCCGTGCTTGAGTGATAATAATAAGAACTTTATTTGTGTGTCACTTTTCTAAACACAAAGTTTCAAAGTGCTTCAGAGTTTGAAATTATAGAAGCTGCACATTAAAGATGTACACGTTTCAACATATTCAACCACAGGGACATTCATTCCAACATATAAACTTCCACCCACACAAAAAGAGCTAAACCAGCGATGTCAGACTCAGTTTACGTCACGGGTCACATACAGCACACTTTGCTCTGAACTGGGCCCGATCAGTGAAACGACATGATAAATGTGTAAAGAAAAAAGTTAAATGCACAGACTGACTTGCATTTATAAAATATAGTAAGTTTTGTAAATCTAGTGGACTCACTAATAGTTGAAAAACAGGAACTTTGGTGTAGTATAGAAGGGCATGGAGGTAGGCAGTCTTAATTAATAGGAAAAGCCATAAAACTTGTGAAAACACAATTAAAAGATCAAAATCTGTGCACTGTCTTACATTTTATAAAGCTGTCCAGTGGGCCAGATTTCAGCCTTTGCTAGGTCGATTCTGGCCCCCGGACCTTATGTTTGACAGCCCCAATGAAAACTATGGCCCCAGAATATTGGGGGAAACATTAAGGGAAAGATGGCTTATAAAAATTCGTTTTCGGGAGTTGTTTAAAGCAAACCACTGATTCAGTGCTGAAGAAGGCTGTTCCAGAGTTTGGGTGCTACAACCTCAATACGTGATCACCTCTGATTGTAAAGTAAGAGCATGGTACAGTCAGGAGATCCTAATCAGATGATCTGAATGGTCTGCAGTGGTCTCTTTAGATCTGTTACAAATGCACTCTGTCACCACTAAGCATTCTGATATGTTTGAGTTTTGATTTGAGTCCTGAAGGAACGCTGTGAACTTTGACTCTGTGTTATTGCTTTTGCCAACTTTTACAGGTGAATTTCCAGGTGTGTCTCTTCTCAGTGTCTGAAAAAAAAACAATGCTTGGCAGATGCTGTTCAGTGACTTACTGTGTAGTCATCACCACTTCCCAAAAAAAACAACTCATGAAAGTGCGGGAAATGACTCTAAACCTCTTGAAGAGGACCACTAATGCACAGCTTCATTCCTTTTGACCAGGTTATTAAACACATGCCATCATTAATATATTAAATAATAGAGAAACTAATCATAACACTGGCTTGTGGTTTGTTGGCTGCTTTCTTTGTGTCTTTTTTATATGAAACATCAAAGTCACTTTCTACAGTAAAGCAAATGAAAAACTGTTCACACACTCCTTTGAGCACAAAGCTTAAAAGACAGCGTTACATAAAGCACACTCTAAGTGAACTGTACTGCTGCAGCCAAGTTGTAGTGTTTGCATTTTTGGATGCAGTTGTTGTGCCAAGAACAAAAGCAAGGAATTTTCTACTCTGAATATCACAACCTTTGCAAAACAGTCTCTCAGGTGTATCAGAGAGGGGTTTTCCTTTATATTAGGACAAAAAAAGTCTTTTAAAAAGAAAAACAAGAACCTTTTAAAAATTGCACTCACGCAGGTGTGACCTGACCAAATAGCTGATGTGTCAAAAAGCAAATATGCTGTTGCTCCTGTTGCCAGAAAGTGATGTTAAGCAACCCTCTGTCTTGGTGTGTTCAGCAATGCTTTGTGGAGCACGTAAAGAGTCTTCCAATTCATTTACAAACAATCTCTGCCTAGTCAATACCTCGCGAGTTGCTCAGGTGCCTGTGTTTGCGTTCGCGTGCGCACGCGTGTGCACACTCACTTGTGAGTTATGCAGCAATCTCTGTACGTCCTGTGCCAAGTTTCTGTTTACCTCATCGTCTCAGCTGCTTTTATTGGGCTTGTTTATCTCCTCCTCCCTCTATTCTTTTCTTTCGCTGTCTCTTTTCTTTTCAAATACTGAATCCTTGGTAACAGACAAATGAAAATAACAGCTAAACCCGATCCGTGCTGCGTTTTCATCGTGTGTTAGGTTACCTGTCAGGACAATGACAACACACTGAAGTGAGTTCACAATTCGTGCATGCTCGTTAGTGATGGATTTAAGTAGGAAGGCTGACATACCGCAGTGTTTGTAAAGAGTTGGGGTGACAAACAAAAAGCAAAGTGTCGGCTTTGGACAGAGAGAGGTTTGGGTGCACATCTTGATACAGTACGACACTTGTTTTGCACTCTTTCAAAATGGAGCCATTGTGTTCGTGTGTGTCAATGTGTGTGCATTGACTCTAAACCCTCCACCCCATTCTTTTTTTCTCTCTCCATCATCCATCTGCCAACACTGAAAGTCCTCCTTTGACAGAGGAAAAACCCACTCAGCTTGTTGAGATTTTCAGCTCCCACAGCTGCAACTTTGTGCACCTCCTGTATGACAGACACACTTTGTCACATACAGTCCTGCATGCGTACACACCGGTTTTTCCCTTTTCTAGAGGGCTGTGCTTATGCATGCTCTATGTAAGTTACTGGGTAGAAGGTTGTGGACTATATGTGTAGAGGTGTTGGCAAGTATTTCCCAACAGGCAATTCAGACATTGTCAACCACTGATAGCACTGTGCACCTCACAGGGTAGGGCAGACAAAGAATTTGACCTGTGAGCTGTGCGTGAGCTTTCAATTATTTGGATTTGAATTAGCAAAAGTTCCCAAATAAGTTAAAAGTTGAAAATCCAATGTGTAAAAAAAAAAAGCAAAATATGAAAAGGAAAGGACTCAAGAGGAAATAAAAGTAGTCACTTGTTGCAAAATACAGACTTATAGACTTTTGTTTGGCATTATCTTCACATGATAACCACAGAACTACAACTTTAATCTTAGACTAATGTGTGAAAACTTCCAACTTTCCCACACTTTCAAATCTGATGTGTGACTGCTAAATTGTCAAGGCCAGTTAACCTCCACATTACTGGGATGACAGCAGAAAACGGTGACGTAAACCTTCACAGATTTTATTTTTGTGAACTTCACTCTCACCCCCAATTTGAAACATAGGCTTCCTGTTAAAGTGTTTTGTCAGTCCACGCCGAGTAAACCCTGATCACATAATCAGGGCTATTCTCCAAGACTTAACAAAGCTCCTCATGAGCCCAAGAGAACATTTTACAACTGTTTGCACAAGCTAAGAGTGACTGCACGGTGAGCAATCACATCT